TTTAGAAATGGAAGAACTTAAGAAGCATGGTACATTGTTACCACCTGAAATTATGGGATTAACTGATGAACAAGTTATTGAACTAAAATTGGTTGATACTTGGGGTGAAAAGTGTACTCCTAGTAATGGATATACAATTCATAAAGATCCAGTTGGTCGTCGAAATGGAAAACAACCTAATGAAAAAATGCAAAATGTATTGTCTAAGACAATTGAAGAGGTTAAGGCTAGTGTGTCTAAAGTTAGTATTTTAATTAAATTAACTATTAATTGTTTAATAAATTGTATTTATTTGTAGAAATTAGTTCAGTCTCAGATTCCATTAACTCAAAAGAAAGTTCAAGAAGCACTTGATTTGCTCCGAGGTGCCATTATGATTGTTTATCCAATGAATTTACCACCTCATGATAACATAAGACTTGAGCTAGAAAATAATGAGGATCTAACAGGAACACATGCATCATTAGAGGTAAAAAAAAATACATGTTGTTTTATTGATTTAGGGTTTTCAGATTTTTTTTTTTTTGCAAATTGTTAGCTTCAAACCTTTGTATTATTATTATGAATAGATAAGTGTTTGTTATAGTTGAATAATGTATTGTATTCTATATTATAATTACCCAGTTAATATTTTTTATATGTTTTAAGATTTTAAAATTTTGGGCTAATATGATTTATACAAAAAACAGTTATGAATTAAAAAATAATTAGTTATATTATTATTTTTTACTAACTAATTTACTATTCACTATTATTTTATTATTAAATTAGTAATTTAAGTATTTGAAGGATCCAGTGCAAGAACCAGCTATCTCCACTTTTTGAAATTGTTCAGTACAAATAAATAACGAAATAAATATATTTCTAATTGAGTTATAAATATAATATAAACATAATTGAATTCTTCGTATGAAGAGCTATCTATATGTATATTTAAATTCACATTTTACATTATTTTAAGTACATTAAATAGTAAAAATAAAAAAACATGGAGATACCTGGTTATTGCACCGAATTAAATTTTTTTTTTTTGTTTTTGACCTAATATCAATTTAAGTTGAAAATATAATCATAAATATTAAAAAGTTGCAAAACTTTAAAACTATGTATTATAGTTATGTTTTACAAAACAGTATATAGTAATACAACATATTCTTGATTTATAATAATAAATTCACTAAAAAATGTGGAGATGGCTGGTTATTGCACCGAATCTTATGATTTATAAAAATGAAAAAAAATATTACTGTTTGTTTTACCCTTAATTTTTGACCTTTTTAACATACAAATAATAAATTAGATTCACTTTTCGATGTATTGGAAAATGTACTACACTATTGAAGTCGAAAATTAAAATATTTTAACTACAACAAATCTCGCGCACTATTATACAGTGTTGACCATGTCTTGGTGCAACAACCGGATACCTCCAGAGATAGCTGGTTGTTGCACCTTAACTGTATACCAGACATCTCCATTTGTATGATATTAGGCTATCTAATGAACGGACATAGCTGATTATTGCACCGAAATGTAGACAAAATTCTTCGTTATCAGATAATGTAAAAACATGCATTTTAAAAAAAAATTGGAGATAGCCGGTTCTTGCATTGGACCCTTCATTTACTAGCCTTTTTATACTATTAACGTTGATTAAGCAAAATACAAATAATAGTTGTAAAACCAGAATAAAGTGTTAAAAAAAAAATGTTTTTAAATAACCATTTACTTTGGCTTGTTAATTTTTAAATACCATAAGAAATAATTCCTTCTTGAACATCAATTATTTTTTGTCATTTAAATATACGAAAAATGTATGTATGTTATAATTGGTACTTTATATATCATTAAAATGTTGGTCTGTAATAAAAATTTTTATTAAAATAACTTAATATGTCTAATAAATATGTTGTAACTAATAAATGTAATGTGTGGTAAAAATGTATTGATAAGAATGATAGTCTTAATTAAATTAATATCTTCAAGCACTCTGTGAAGTACTTTTAGTTCCCATGCAAGCTGAAAAAATCATATCTTTATGTATTCAATTGTTTTTATTGATTTAATATAGATTAGGTTTTCTAAAACAATAGTGCTCTAATCAAGATAAAGCTTTTATCCCTCTTCCCTAATTCTTATTTTTACTAGTGATATAATTGGTTGAAGTTTGGAAAGATTATACAATTACAATATGTACATTAAATTGTCATTTTAGAATATTCAATTTAAAAGATAATAGTGTTTTTACTTTTTTACTTAACAAGTATAAATTGTCATTTTTAAATAAGTAAATATATATAAAAATTATACAAATATCTAGTTATGGATAATATATAGATAATTTTTATTGATATATGCATATTCATTCAATCTGTGAATATTCTAAATAATGTGCGATGTATATTATTTTTATTTAATTCTTGTGGTTATTATGTTGATAAAATAGTATATATCGATTTCAATAATAGTTTCATATTATATTTTTACCTTAGGTAATTCCGCCAAATGCAGCTCAGCTCTGGTTTTCTGGTCGTGAGTTATTACGGGAACCAAACAAAAAAATGAAGGACTATTTGGGACGAAATGAAAAAACAAAGGTTGTATTGAAACTCACTAAGACTGGTTCTGGACCACCTGCTCGTGAACCTTTGTTAAGCGAACAAGATCGCAAATTGTTAATGGCTGAGGCTTATAAAAAACAAGAAGAATTAAAGGTAAGATAGTTAAGATAATTACTGCATAAATTGTAATTTTATAAAAGTTTTAGATTTGTAAGGAAAATAAATATATTTTTTTTAAGTTAGTAAAAAGTATATAGAGAGTATACCTATACATAAATATTTTATTTTATCAAATTAAATTGTTTATAGTTTTGTTGATTTATTATTATTATGTAAATATTTACTCAATAATTCAGTAATAAGTAATTACTACTAACATTTTTCTATAAAAAATATTCCAGTATACTTTATTATATACATAATACTATAATAAAGATATATTATATTGATATATACTAACATTTTCCAATTTTTCTTGATACTTGATTTCTTTTAAATATTTTCCTCGGTCAAATTCCCATAAAAATATTTGTTGACTTAATTAATTTTAATTCATTATTATGTATAACTTTGCTGTTTAAATATATTTTTTGTCAATGTAATAAGATTAATAAATACGAATACCAAAAGTATATAACTAAGAAAATTATTTTCCATTAAAGAAATCAAGAATCTTTTAAATTAATTAAATAATAATAATTGTCAAATGAGTAGTATTGTAACCAACTGTTTCCATTCAACTCTTGGTCCAAATAAAAAAATGAAAATGAGTAATAATAATAATAACTAAGGTATAATTTTAAGCTGTAGCTATAAATTAAAATTGGTAACAATAGCATTATTTAATTGAATATTTTAACAACTATTAATATTATCTCATTGATTTAAGTTAGAAAAATTCATCAGAATGATATTGATGAAACTTACAGAAAAATTTACTTCTCGAATTTCTTTTTTAAGCAAATAACATATTTATAATTAATAATAATTCATCATTTTTGTGATATGCTTCAACATTATAAATAAATAAATAATTATATTCCATTGCTTCCTTCAAAATCTAATAATCACTTGAGATTGATTTTGACAACAGTTATAATTCTTATTTTTGAATAAGCTATCAATTATTACCTTTATTTTGATTAAGATTATATTATTTTAATAGTCAATACAGCAGGATAACATTGTTATAACATATGGTTAAAGAAAATGTAGAGGAATTTAATGTAAAATGTTGTTTAGCACAAGTTTGTACGAATTATTTGATTTTCATATTATAAGTGGAGACATATTTTTTAATATTAATATGGTTGTATAAAAATAAACGATGTACAGGATACTTGTATGTATTTAGCCATTAAATGTTTAGGTAAATAAAACAAATTTTAGATTCAGAGCACGCAGTTAATACCATGCAATAATATGAATATATTTTTTCTAACAATGTTTTGAACACTCATATATATTTTAATTTACTGTTATCATATATTTTAAGAATTGAAATATTCTATATTTTGGTATTTGTAAATACTTCTAACATGGACATAAAAATTCTGTAGAATTAAAAGTGAAATTATGGCAACAAAAAATTAGATGAAATATCTAACAATAAATATGAATACAGTTTAACAATACGAGCATTTTCAATGTATTATGTGGTTTTTTTTATATGATGTTTCTATAAATTTATAAAATATTCCGAATAAGCAGTAAGCCATGACGAAAAAGAAATTAATTTCTATGGCAAACTGTCATTTGTAAGTTGGTTGGGTTATACGGTAAAAACCAAAATGTCGCGTGACGTTAAGCGCCATAATTTATTACTGTTGGCAGTTAGGGTTAAAATTATTATCCGTACTACAGTGTTCAAAGTTCACCGCTTATTCTTTTCATGTAACTTTAAAATTGTCCTTTTTTCGTATGTTTTCGTTTTATTAAGCTATGTTCAAAGTGCATTTGTATACCTTAAGGAGTTTGTAGTTTATATTATTTTTATAAAAAATATTTTCCAAAAACATTTATTATAGATTTTATTTAAAAAAATAGTTTATCGATTTTTCGTTAAATTATTCTGTATTTCGAGTAAAATACTTGATTTTGGTTGTACACTTATTATTCAAATTTTTATGATGTCAAACTGTCTAGAATTGTAATATAATGGCTTTGAGAAGATGAGTCGATATTCGATATGTAGATATTAATGGCTATTGATATTTATATTGAGCTGTCAGCATAAATATTAGCCTGAATTTAAAATAAGATACATATTTATTTTTGAAAATAATTTTTTGTTTATTTGAATGTGATAAAACATAAAAAAGTATTACATTTATATATTTATAATATTAGCATAAAAAAAAAAAAAAATGATTAGTGAGTAAAATATTAATAAGATATTTGTCAAAAAAAAATTACAAAAAGTCTTTTGAAAAAAAAAAGACTACTCATGCCACCAATGTAATTTAAGAATATTTGTATGGTCTGAACATGGCCTATACATATTTTATACACTGATATTATAATGCAGAATATGTGGTATATTTACGTATTTACGTGTATATGTACGTATTTTAGTATCTGACATATTACATTAAAAAAATAATATTATGTATCCAAATAAGGTTTTTGCAAAAGCTTTTTAAATCGTTCGCGAAATTTAAATCTTATTAAAATAATATTATATTATCTCTTCTATATCTTCGATAAGGTTCGATTCGCTGGTAACCATCTGGCGGCGGTACAGCGTCCCCTAATAATATTATATAGGGCGATGAAAGGAAGATCCAAACCGGAGATTTATGCGTACTGATGCTCATTTTCGTATTTCACGTGACGGCGGCGATGGCCGGCCAACGGTTGTCAGTGTATCGCGCTTATTATACGTCCGGACTTTCGGTTAGCGGTCTGCCAACGGCTATGTCCGCCGACTTGGCCACCAACGCCTCGATGACGCTCAGCTCTTGCATCTCGTCATGTAGTTTCTTTTGCTTTCGCTCCTTAGACGTTTGATTGGGTTTCATAAACGGCTCGTCGACCGCAGCCGCGTCGTCGTCCGCGCACCACTGGCACGTCATCCGGGCGTCGTCTCCCACTTTGACCGTCTGATGAACGATGAGTAGCGTGAGGAATGATATCGCGAACAGTATTCCGGGTACGGTGACGCCAATCATCAGTTCCCACCACGTTTTGTTCAAGTCAAAACGGGCCAGTGCCGAGAACGAGTCGTTCTGTATACACACACACACACACATTCACACACAATATTAATTTACAATACTGTTTTATATTAATCTGATGTTATTGTTGGTAAAGTGCTGCGTAGAAATAATAAATAAATACATAGTGCTAATTGTATGTTTGGCAAACGAGTTTTTACAGAGCATAATAATTATTAAGATTATAAATTCCGTCTTGATTATCGAAACGTTGTCACATTACCATTTCATGAGTTAAATATTTTTCCAAATGATGGCGAGAAAGAAAATAATAAATATACCTTTGTGTAAAAACATGGGAATCGGCTTTGCGCCGTGTGGTTATCGCCCGCTCTGCCGTGCGTGTTACTGAAGTCCTTGCACTCGTTGCGCAACGTATTGACGCACCCTTGCTGATTGATGTACAGTCTGCTGGAGTTGAAGACTGTCAAGGAAGATTGCGTGGGTACAAACTCGTTATTTTCGTCGAGCAGCCGATTACTTGACTCATAGATCGTCCAGAACGTCGTGAAGTTGATGAACAGTTGTGGCATCAACGATTCGTCGAGCACAGTGCCGTTAATACAGTCTATAGCTCTGGTGATGATCGTGACGAGAAGTGAAAATGAAAAAGAAAAACAGATAAACATTCTCGTTTCGCTGCACTCGAATATTATATTTTATGTGACTGCTGCTACTACTTAAAGTATATATCGCCATGTACCGTGATAACTTACCTGAGTGAGTTTCCGCTGTCTTTCGTTATACCGTTACAGCTGGCCATGAATATGCCGATGGTCGAGTTCTCGTCTGTCCATATCTCTCTAGGCGTGGCTAGTTGTTCTCCCTGCGTCGCGTTACCGTTGGCCTTGTTGTACGCCACCACTCGCTGACAATCGCCCGTGTAAACCGTGTCACCCAGTCGCAGAAATACGTTCACCCCCGTCGTCGTAATTTTGTTACAGTACCGATCACAGGCAAACGGCCATTTGATCGATTTGCAACTATACATGAACGTATTGAAAATCGTGGTCAATGTTAACCTCTCTTGTTAACTACGTATGTGTCGTATATACAAATCGAAAGGACGAGTAATCCCCAACAAGTTGTTTTTTTTACCTTCCGTTATCGCAGTGAAAGTAGCCGTTGAGCTTCAAATTTTCTCGATCGCTGTCGAACGCTAACTCGCTGTTGCTAGTGTTGTAGTAACATTGGTACAGTTCCGACATGTTGGAACAATGTCCCAGTCTACAGGCCATGATACCCGTAAGGCCTAGGCACTCTTTGTTGTTATTGCAGTTGTATCGTTTTAGAGTTTCTGGATTTGCCTGCGGAATAATGTCGTATTGACGGAGAAGTTGAAGCGCGACTGTATATTTATTATATTGTTCGACGAGTACTGGGTGCCTATCGATAATATATCATATATACCGCGATTGGCAAGACCGAAAAAGCGAGTTCTATTGCTGAAATACGTGACATGATTATTTTTTAAGTGTTTCAGGATGGCAGAGGTGACCCATATAGTATAGGTATATGTATAGCGTTGTACTAGCTAGTGCTATACATGTAATATATTCTATACCGATATACTTATATACTTAGACTTTATTTTTATTTAACGAAAATCATATTCACGTTTAAAGTTAATAATAATTGCGCCCTGGTTATTTATTTGATCACGAAATGCGTGCTAACCTGACGATGGGGTGCTGGTGTTTATTACAACAATACTACAATATATATGGATTGCAAAGTTTATTTAAATTTTTTCACGTATACCACCGTACATTCAACCTATATCACTTTTGCGTGACGGAATCGTATTTTTTATGTACAGAAAACATGGTGTTTGGAGCACGCTTGATGCATGTACTGGGGCTTTTGTTTGATTTCTACTAGAAATATTCGGGTTTAATGACCACATACGATTGTGGTTGTGGTGGTGGTGGTGGTATTGGCAGCTTTGACGGTGGGACGACCGCACAAGGTTAACAATGGTCAAATAATAAAAATAAAAACTTCGATAAGGTCATATTGGATACTTGCCTGCGGACAGGAGACGGTCGTTAGTCTAGTGCAGTTTTCCACTCCGATCTCGGTGCCGTTTTGTCGTACGGTGACCAAATACTGCGGGCAGTTTCCCGATGCTTTCGTCAGGCACCATTCGCCGCAAGACGCCCATTCGCAGTTGTTGGATACAGTCGAGTTGATTGTTTGGCACATGATCGGTACCGTTTCGATTGCCGCGTTGAATGCCCTGTAACCTGGCAAGTAGATGGCTACCGACAGGTAAACCAACGATACGGAGCTCAACACAAATGTCAACTGGCACACGCATATCAGGCCGCATATGTGCCTGTCCTGTTCGGGTATGGGTTTCGGCGGTGGTTCGACCTTCTTTTTTCGGCCTCCGCCGTTGCTGCCCCGGTTTTTGGTCGCCATAAACTTTTGGTATTTTCCTGTCAATATTAGGTAAAATATTATACTCTTACACGTTTTACCGGATTTCTTCAGTACATTTTGTTTTTATTTGTTGGGTTTCAAACAATTGCAGTATCTTGTTTGCGCTGGAGCCATAAAAGGAGCTAAAAAGTTTAAAAAGTATACATGTGTAGAACTATATGATATTCTAAATGATTTGTTCATCAACTATATCGCGGTGTTTTCCTCAGTGATTATATTTTATATTAAAAGGTTAGGTTTATTGAATTAAACCTTAGTTATTGTAGACATATGCTGTTCGTAGATCAAGTAGTTATTTTACAATGTTCACGATTGAGAGGTCAGAACGGAGAAATATGAAAATAATTCTCTACCGTGCACCGGTCTTTCGGTTGGACAGCAATAATAATAAAAAAAAAAAAAAACGTATTCTTTGTTTAAAAATCATTAAATTCAAAAATCGATCACTTAATTAATTTTACCTGCAGTGTACTTATAGTAATGAAATAAAGACGTGTATTTATTTTGTTAGTGAAAACAGTATTATATTATACAATGTTAATGTATACTATAATGTACAAAAAAAAAAAAAAAAATAAAAATAATCATTGAAATACACGTCAGTTTTTATTTTGAATTTATTAATTATTATTTATTTTTGAATATAACAACTATAATAATCGATTAAATGGTCATTTATAATGTTAAAACTCTTCTACTTATTTTAATTTACGGTTCGGTAAATGTCTTGGATATAGTTTCAGGTTTATTACCTCTAAATTTCTATTGCAAATAACTACACGTGACCTTTACAAATAAGTAGTACTTTTATAAACATTATAATGAAATGTTAAAATTATATTTGGAAAATCACTATAAAGTGCTAATTAGTGATATGACTTACGGGTTAGAATTTACTGTTTTTTTTTTTAAAGGTAAAGACGTGAGGCAAATTAAATATTTTAAGTGTTTAAAATCATTAACTTTATAATTTTTACATATATTATTGAGTAATAAATCTTAAAAAGTATTTTTTAAAATGTCGAATTATTTATAGTTTTATTAAGTACCAATATATTTGTCTCTATTTCTTTACAGTATAGGTTTTAGCAATTTAAGCAATGAAAAAACAAATCTATAGGTAGGCGTAGGCGTTTTTATTTAAAATGCAGCTAATATTTTACTGGGTTTTTAGTTCTAAATACTAGTTTAAAATATAGCAAAGATACGTGTATTACAAGTGATTGCAATTTAATCTTTAACTATATTTGTCGTAACATGTATTTTGTTAAATATTATCGATTCCTGAATAATTACTAATATTATCGTCAGAATTAAAGTGTGTATCGCAGTGTAAAATACAATTGTATACAAGCTGAGCATAGCAGAAAGTTAGAAATTATTAAGAACTTGTACTTACTCTTTTTTGTGTACACTAAAATGTACGGTTTATGGGTGAAAGGATTTGTTTATGTTGAACTTTGTTGATTCCTATTATTATTAAGGCTTATTAAATTCATCGGTGACAGGTTTGTCAAGCCGTTAGTAAACTTCTTCTTTCTTGGGCTTTGTATATAAAATTCCCTTATGTGCGTTAATGAAAAAAAATGTGTTAAAAATATATTGAAAAGATAAAATTTGATCTATTTTGTTAATTTTTAAAAATATGGTAATTGGAAAAGCTTTGCTAAATACAACATTGCATTTATATTATTAAATTTGGAATAAATTATTATAATTTATCTACTATTACATTTACAAAAGCACAATAACTTATATTTTTATTACTAGAATTTTTTTTATTTCAAAAAATGTTACTAATAATTGGTACTAAATTTTATATGCATGAATATTTTACAGTTAACATTTAAATATTGAGTTATTAGTTTTTTTTTTTGTAGCCTTGTCCGTATTTAGTATTTTAAAATATGAGTATCATAATATTTGACTTTTTATTGTTATTGTATTTATGTATTTAATTTATCTTAATTTATGTACGTATTGTATACATTTATAGTATGCTAACGTTCATAAAATAAACCATGAGCTAAATGATTCTTATTCTAGACTCTATTTTAATTGATGAACAATTAATATTTGACTGAGTAATTATGAATAATAAATAGCAATTGACTATCATTTTATACAATTATGTTACAACGTGCCTATTGTTGTATAAGTCCTATAAAACTGTTATTATTATAAATGTATTATGTCAAAGTTAAAGTTTTTTTTAAAGAAAATTATGTTATCAATCACGTAATAAGATTAAATCGTGGTGAACTATGAAGGTCTAAATTAAAATTTCATAAAAAGAAGTGTATATTATCTTAATAAATTATAGTTCAATAATGAAGGGTAAAATATACTGTTTATTATGCTATAAGCTGATTGAAATAAATTTGTGTTATGTGATTTATAACTAATAAACTGTCAATAATAATAATATAATAATAATATATATGTCACATTATATATAAAATTATCGTGATATTCGTATACTTACAGTTTTTTTTGTTTCTTGAATACTTGGTTGTAAATTTTGAAGCATATCAAAATGAAAATATATTTTGGTTTGTTATCTTTTTGAAAATGTTCTTATTACCTGTAATTTTTGATCGTTCATGTTTCTATACATCGTCTAAGTAATAATTAAAATTATTATTTATCGATATTATATAATTTAACTGTACACCTATATCGATGGGTGTCTAGTCGAAAACTGTTGCATTACGAAAGCATATTTGAACGGAACACGTAATTCCGATAGAGTGACACTCCCCTATTTATTCGATGCTACCAGTGGAGAAGGGTCTCAAACCACAACGAACCCTGGTGGAAGTTTTTTCTCTTTGTACATATCAGCCCCTCTCTTGTACTAGGTCAAATCGATTGTGTTTAAGATGATCTGGCGTTGAATGTCCAATTGAATTAATGTAGGCATATTACTATGTAATTGTATATATATATATATATATATATATATATATATATATATATATATATATAAATATACACCATAATTGTAATAAATGAATATTATTAATTATTATACATGAAAATATTTTTTTTTTTTGGTGTACTCAATATTTAAAGTTAATCTAAAAGTTAAAAATTTCATTATTTATTTGATAAACTGTGATAGTACAATAATATATATAAACCATATAAAGGTATTGGTATTTGCAATGAAAACTAATAAAAGGTTATAAAAATCATTTATTCATGACAAGCAGTAATATTATAAATACAAATAACATATACGATTGACTATTATAAATTATGAAATATAATACATATATAATATATAAAAATAATTGTACGCAATCATTTAAAACTTCACCTAATTTAATTTCCGTAGGTTTAGCAAGTATATATATATATAAATAAAAATTTAGAGATGTAGAAAACTAATGTTAGTATACACTGAAATCAGTAGCGTATTTGAAGAAGGGGAATTAGGGAATTCCCCCCCCCTCCTGGGACTTTTTTTCACTGTTTTGTGGAAGCTGTGATTATAAGTTAAATTTCATTATTATGACTACTCGTCTATCCTACGTCCCTATCTAGTACGGTTTCCAATTTTTAATTATAACATAAATCGTTTTTAACATCAATACCACATTTTGTGTTATAATTAGATAATAAATATTTTATGCTAATAGATTATTTTTATTATACTTAAGAGTTTTTAGTTGATTCTGTTGTTTGAGTTTCATATTAATTAAAATATTTTATGCTTTTAGAATAGTGAACTATTTGTCATTATTATGTCAAAATAAAATTTACAGATTTTGCTCTGAAACTTATCCCAAGTACGCCACTGACTGAAGTGATGGAAACTGTAATTTTTGTAAAACCAAAGCAGAGTATTATGTAACTAATTATGCCAAACCAGTGAAATGTAAATTTAGTACTCGTTTTTGTGCATGAAAATACATTTATTGAAGTGAATTAGTATAGCAGTAGTTCCATCAATCAATAATCGCCGTCTTCTTCATCTGTGCTAAATGGCCGTTTGGATAACTTTCTTCTGTAAATTTGAATATTTCAATTAAAATCACGTTTTAAAATGGAAATTTTTAAATTATCACTGGTATAATTATTGTTATCCAAAAAAATATTTCATCTTTTCTTTAAATGGGTTAAAAATAAATTTTATAAATCTTAAATATAGTGACTATGAAGTTAAAATATTTCTTTTTTATTACAAAAGGAGTAATATCTGTAATGTGTAGTTATTATATTATAATATTAATAGTTGCTTATAATAATAGTCAATTCTAGTTCAAAATGTAGACTTAGTAGGTTAGTAGCTTATATATTTAAGTTACTTTAAATATTTAAAATTGTATTCATTTACTAATTATATTATATTAATTTTAAAGTTAAGTGTTAAAAAAAACATTAACTCTAAATTAATTAAAGATTTAATTTAGTTGAATAAAACAAATTAAATTTCTAGCATTAAAAACTTTTAATTTCTTTGCTTTATTAAATTTAAAAGTTGTAGGGTAATGTTAAATTTTATTTGGATTGTTTTCAAAAATGTTACGAAATTCTAATATTATACTTGTAGTAATTTGATAGTATAGATATGTTTGGGCGCATAACTTGATACTATGACATTATTTATTGCAATAAGTTATCATTGTAATTATCGAGTGAATACGTGTATGTGAGTGAATAATAATTTATTGGTAATGTGTTACTATAATTTAACGTCAAACGTAAAAAGAGGGTCATAATTTTTGAATCAATTTCTGATGCGGTTCAAAGTGCATTTTTATTCTTTCGTTCGTTGTATATTATTATTACGATTATTATTTATATTATTACTTAGTGCATTCATGAAGAATTATTATCGATTTGTTAAAGATCTTTAAGTTAATTACGCTTAATCATGTAAAATATAGTGTTTACGTGATTATATATATTGTTATTATTTATCCATTTTTACGAAACGTGTCAGTATGAGTTGGTCAATAGTCTTTATTACATATACCTGATCACTTGTTGCGGATTTTCGTTTTTTACTGTTGTGGTTTTTCTTTTGTCTATCATGAATTCTCGTTTCAATGCTGGGCAGTACCAATAGCACAGAACCGTGCACGAAACGATGAACAATGTCCAAGGTATGAATACGGCGGCCACTAATGTCTTGATAGTATGATGCCAGTCATAGTCGGCCACTACTCTGTCCGGGTATGCTCGACTATAATAGCACGGAAAAACTTTTAACGTGGCTTCGGCATTGGAGATTTCTTTCTCCTGCTGTTGCTGCTGCTGGTCTATTATCGTCGTTAAAGTTGATATCTGCGCACCTTCTTCGATAGACTCCACTGACAAAGTCGTTGAACCGGGCTCGAGTATCACTGCAGACTTATGGCTCATCACTGTGGTGTTACCGTGCCGGTAAAGTTCTCTAGTTTGTGGTTGGTTAATACCGTTGAACTTGGTAATGTCTTCCTTGTCAACGTGTCCATATTTTAAAGCGAACAGAGAGCAGTTGACGAACGGTGGGTAACCACATCCTTCGGTGTTTACCAGGAAACGTACAACCGTACCCGCCCATTTTAGTGAGTTTGGAGACATACGGTCCTACAGAAGCAAAAAAAAAAAAAGAGAAAAACAATGTTACTGGACTTATTCATATCTGAACGAACATCAAAGTATTTCAATTATTATTAAATTTATGTTTTGTAAATTAACAATTTGTTGTTAAATAATTACGAGTGTGATTTAAGTGTTCCTTATGTCTTTTTATGTGTCTTCTTTATGAATACTATTTTTTTTTAAGGATTAATCTAAAATTTCCATAAACATTTTATTGTGATTATGAAGTACAGGAGAAATAATAAAAAAAGGTTATTACTTATTTAGAAATGTATTCTGATACTCATAAGAAACAAAATTCAAATGTAGTTGTTTAGCGTCCTATAGAAATGGAAAATATTATTTCCTAGTAATTTTGTCAAAATGCTACGAAAATATTCTTTTTAGTTTTATTTATAGAATTATAGCATTACTTAAAGTCTTAATCAATAGTCTTTTGTAACCTTAATTAAGTGATTATTCATAAATGGTTATATTCTTATGAATGAGTTCGAATCAAAAATGTCATAGTTATTTTTGAAGAGAAGTCTTTGACTATCAGAATGATTTTTGAGATGTACAGGGTTAAAATTATTATAATATAATTTTAGAAAATGTTTTATGTGCAATACGCGCATTGTATGAATACTAAATAGAAGTATGCAATACAATTTTACACTAAACAAATCCTTATTTTTGTTATATATATTTAATGTTTATATATATATATGACATAATAGGAGAGTAGTGGATATTATTGCGACAAAATACTGTTTAGTATTGGTAAATATTCAAAATAGATTGTAATAATTAAGATTATTTTAAACGATATAGTTGTAAAAGTGCCATGCCTGTTCGTATTGCTGGTACGGCGTTAATGAATAGTTTACAGTGATCTGATGACACCTCGTGGTTGCCGAAGTACAGCCTTCTCGGCATGACGACCACGTGCATTTGCTCATACCCGCAGCGAACACGTGTTCATGCAGTGCACATGTACCGGGTTCTGGCGAGTACCTGGCGATCAGCCTGGAGACCGCTGGATCGACGACGAATGGTACGAGGAACAGGAACACCATGAACGACAGTAGTGCTGTGGTGCCCAAGCACAGGCTCACTTTAGGCTTAATGCGTTGGCAGAATCCGTTTTTCGCTGGTTCACCCAGTAATCTTGAACCTTCGTCTTGGCTGGGCTGTCGACTTCGAATTTTTTTCATCTCGTCCTCTGCAACTGTATCGCTCATAATTTCTAGTTTTTCTGGTTGAAATAATAATAAAAAAAATAAAAATTATATTTATTATGCTGTTCCAACAGTATATAGCATATTGTATATATATTAACATTTCGTTTATAGTGAATTTTGTGAAAGTAACTAATTGACAGTCATGTTATTATAAAATTATGTAGTATATATCATATTATATGTCCAAAATTGCTGTAAATATTATTGTAGATTACTTTGTGGGAATATTATTGTTTTACGAATCGCGCGTTCAAATGAATTTAAATCAATTTAACATCATTAACCGATGGAAATTGAAAGGTTTTTATGTAAACAATTTTTAAATAGGGAAATATTCATTTTTTTAATGATTTTATAATTTTTATTTCATGATGTATTCTTGTTATATGTTCTGTGCGCCTCAGACATCAAATTAATTTAAAACAAATAAAAAATAAATGTAGATAATAATCTGTAAAAGTGTTGCGTCTTATGTGAATAATTTTTCAGTCATTTTTGATCCAGATTTTAATTTGTATAAAAAATGTTCAAAGAAACTAAAGTGTAATTGTTTAGTATATTTTTTACTAATTTATATTTTTAATATCATTTAACTCTTAAGTATAGTTAAAATACTATTGAGTGTACGTTTCTACGTTTAAAAGTGATCGAGAAAGAATAGAGTATTATATTAAACTTCCCTATTACCTGTGTACATGTTAAAGTGACCGTCTTTTATATTTATACTATGCTAATATTATTCTAAGTTTTAGTTTCATATATTTAATACTAGGTATTTCTTGAATATTTCTAGAAATTAATATATTATAATGTATGTTTCTAAAACTAAAAACTTACATTTAGACCTATTTTAAACATATAAACTAAAATAAAAATAAAGATAATTTATATACTTAAATATGTCGATTTAATTAAATCAATTTATTTTAAGCAATATGATCGCTGCATGAATATAAATACTCGCTCTCTCTCTCTCTATCTCTATATATATATATATATATATATATATATATATATATATATATATATGTATTATAGACGTATTATTTGTCGTTAAATAAAATTTTTTTAAATATTAACAATAATTAAAATAACACGATTTCGTAAATGAGATCAGTGCAAATCAGTGTTTGCATAACATACGCACGATTGGTAGGATTACGAAATAAGGCAGTGGAAAATTAAAAAAATTAATCATTTATGATAGTGACAAATAATTACAATTCTCAATAAATGTGCGCATCCTCTATGATTTAACTAGTCACTAGTAGTAATCTTTGTTGCTATTTAAATCACAAAATAAACTTGGTCAGGGCGTCTGTTTGAACGTTGGTGGAAGAGTGAGATGTCTAAGAGGTCCGAAAATTTTATCATTTTTGCTCATTTAGTAGTCTTCTGATTCACTTATAATTACCTTATATTATACTTCACTAGTATTTGTAAATAGGTTGCTACAGGATATTTTCTGATTGAACAAAAACGTAAACAACCCAATATATACGTTTATACGTGTAGTTCTATATAGTATTTCGCTTTTTCATCCTATTTTGTAGGTAGTTAATTAATACTAATATATATATGTATGTATGTATGTGTGTGTGTGTGGGTGTTCTAATTATATTCTACTTTGTTTTGTATTCTATTTTGTATTACATAAAATTCTTGTACAATATGTCGGACGCACATGTATTATTATAATAATAAATATTAATGTATAAAGTATAACAATTCAATTAGAAATGGCAATGAGTACAAAATTAATTGAAAAAAAATCATTGTTTAAAAACTGTTATAAAAAATGTGTATACTTTTATGGTTAGTATTGTTGTAAAGTTAAATTATAAGTAATTGCCTGTTGTCGTTTGTAAATATAGCAAACAATGTTGTATCGCGTAGAATTTTATAATAAAGCGTATTACAATTATCGTGTATATTGCAATATTATTAGGTATTGAGTGTATAACAAAAAAAAAAAAAAAAAAATAAATTAATAAAAATATATATGTATATAAATATATTTTAACAATTAAGCAACGTTGGAAAGGATGTGAATTAAGTCACAATATTTTTTTTTATGTGCAAAATATTTTAGATGCATTGAATTTTTAAACGAGTGAATATTTTCACTAATAACAATTTCATTTGTATTATATTATAACGATAACGATACGCGTTCCCCTCGTTGATCCGGATTTGTTTGGTCTGAAGCGGTTTTTATTTATTTATAAATAATCCGGATCCTGTTCAAACGTGAGCTCTAATAGTCTGGCAACGAATACATTTGTTGCTGACGTGTAGGGCTGTCTTGTAAGAGGGGAATGCCTGAAAAAAGAATAACTCGATTAGATGCTACGTACAATTATATTAACTGATGGCGGTGTTAGCGTATTAAGTGTTATAAATCAGGTTAACACTACATTAGATGAGACTGAAAGTTACTACTAATACTAAAACTACTACATCGTTATTGAACTTGTATAACTCGTGTGTACTTTAGTTGTACTGTTACTACATCGTTTAGAACTTGTACAACTTGTGAACTTTGGTTATACTATTATACGTGTTTAAAATGTACTCACGTAGCGAATCTCAGAGGGACGTGTTGTCCATATCCATGGTGGATGGTCTGCGGCCAGTTATACTGTCCAGCTCACTGTCGTGCAGCGGAAACAGCGTCTTTATGCTTTTGTGCTTGAACCGCATCTTGGCGTCGTCGCCCACCTCGACCGTTCTCTGGCATAACAGCAGTGTCAGGCACGACACGATCAGCATAACAACTGGTACGACGGACGCGATCAGAAATTCTTTGTACGTGCGCTCCAAGTTAAAACGGACCACAGCCAGTTCGGGTATGTCGGTTGCGTAGAAACAACGGAACCGAGCGCGAGCGTTGTGATCGGACCCGTCCTTGCCGTACTTCCGGATGAATAAGTCGCACTCGCCGCGTAGCGTGTTAACGCAGCCTTGCAGGTTGATGTGTAGGTGACTATCCTTAGCTATGAGCAGCTTGTGTTCGCGCGGCGCTACCGTGTCGTCCACCGTGATTGGCCGGTCGCTCTGAGCGTTCAGATTGGTCAGATGTGAGAAGTTGGCGAAGTCGGCCAGCATATCTTTGCGCAACAGTGACCCATTCACGCAGTCCGTAGCCAGCAACTCGTCCGGCCCGCCAAACACGATGCTCATGCACGAGGCGATTAGTATGTCTCCCTGTTCCTCGGACCACACGTGCCGCTGGCCACCACCGCCACCACTACCGTCCGGCGATGGTGGCGGTATCGGTTCGCCATCCACGTAGCCTGGCAGATACGCGGCCGTATCGCATCGGCTCAGGAACGTCCGGTCGCCGCTCAGCACGATCACGTTTTTGTTGCGCGTCGGTATGTCCACGCACCGTCTATCGCAGTTGTACGGCTCCAGTATGCGACTGCAATTGCCTCGGTCGCACGTGTTCAGGCCTGCTATCGACATGCACGTGATCTTGCCCCGGTGCTGGTTGCACTGAAGCGGCGGCTCCTCTTTGTTACGAAACTCGCACCGGAACGCGTCTGTAATGTTTATGCATACGCCCTCCGTACAGTTGAACGTGCCCGTGAGCATCTTGCACTCGTCTCGGATGCACGTGTACTTCTTGGCATTCTCCGGGTCGAATCCGAAGCACGTTTTGTTCACGATGTGCGAACAGTTGTGCAACAGCAGTGTTGACCCGTTCTGCCGGATGTTCACGTAGATCTGCGCGCAGCCGCCGGACGGCTTGCTCAGGCACCATTCGCTGCATGAGCTCCACGCGCACTTTTGTGACGACACGTTCCTGGTGGTCGTGCATATCACCGGGTTCTCTGATATGCCCGACTGGAACTCGCGCATGGTCGGCATGTATATGGCCACGGTTAGGTACACGATTGCCACGCTACTCAGCACTGCGGTCATCTGGCAGATGCATATCGTGCCGCAAATGCGCGTGTCCTGTGGCGGCACCACCAAGTCTTCCACCGGTATCGGTTTCTTTTTTGGCATGATAAAATCACCCGGCGACCGCGGCCACGGAGCAGCAACGACGAAAACAATGATAACAAAAAAAACAACAACAACAACAACAACAACAGTCGTCCCCCCGCGTGGCAACACCGGGTGAATGCGAATAACGAGGGCGAGAAAACGAGTGCGCGTTAACAGTGACGAGGGTTGGCTGTTGTTGCCGAACGGACAGGCGCCTCGGAATCTAGACCGCGGGAAGAAATCAATAAATTTAGACTACTGCCGCCGCTGTCGCTGCCGTGTACAAACAGATAACCTTCACTACAGTGCGCGTTATCACAAACCTATTTGTAGTCCAGTGTAAATTTTTTATTTTGTTTGATAACGATTTTTTACCATCGTGTTTATTTTTCATAACAATCGTTTCGCGAACATTCGTTGTTTTTGATAAGAGATAATAATGTCGCGAATCAAAATTCTCGTAGTAAAACGAAAACCTACACCGTCATTGAATGTTGTGAACATTATATATAGAACAGAAAATTCAATATGTGATAATACTATAGTTTAACGTATTTTAATATTAACATTCAATATTAGTACAATTAACACATTTTATAATATTTACAATCAGATATACCTTGGAAATGATATCCTACGGGATTCGGTACGATGTAATGGTTTATAATCGTATGCGTACGTATTAGTATATGTATGGTGTACTTATTATTGACAGGAGTAAATGTGTCTCACCTAATTCGTATAAATATTCGTCACCTTATAATTATGTTTTTTGCGTGCACTTGTATCATTTTTAACGCTGTGTTTAAAATTAAATTATCATATTTTATTTCTTAAACGCTTTGTTACAGTCTAATCGTCGGAAATCAAATCCGTTTATTATAACCTACTACTTTATAAATTATTTGTAACACGAAATAATATTTCTTTAATATATTAATACAGCAGTTTTTATTGCGCGCACGTGTTTTTAATCTTACCAGGAAAGTTTACGATGTTCTTGTTGCTACGATTCGGTCGAGTTGACTGACGAGCAAAACTCTTGATTCCACGATATCTCGCCAGGTTGACGTGTGTGGTCGAGCGCCATCTATACATCTGCGTAAAAAATAAATGCGTTTTCTTTCAACAGTAATTCTGTTCAGTCGTATCAATTACATTTAGTTAGGTAGAGCCACAAGTTTCTTGATAGAATTTTAATATTTTAATCCAGTATAAAAATTATACGATATCACGTTCAAGGGTGTAGCCAAGGAATCAGAAGAAAAAGTTAACAAAATTTGTTAAAATATTATTATATTTAATATATAAATATTTAACAAAATTTTAAATTGACTCGGTTATAATTCAATATCTTAACTGCTTATAACTTTTTAAATTTTTATTTGTTCAGTATATATTTTTAAATTCAATTTAAAGGATTTAAATTATCATTTCTGACTTATTGACAGAGTTTTTACATTTTTTTTTTTTTACAATACCATTTTACATAAATATTTTTAATAAATCGTGATTTTTTTTCTTTGTATTTACCTCGTAAGTTTTAATTAAAGATCATAAAATAAGACAAAAAAATTGATATGAGTAAAAATTTAAAAAAACTTAATAAATAACATTAAACATGTTTTGATAATTGGTTAATGTGGGGGTAATTGGCCTTACTGATCAAATAGCTACGTCCTTGACCACGTTGTAGGCGTTATTTTGATTTAAATTGTAAGAGTACTGATTTTATAATGTAATTTATATTATAATTTGTATCGATTCGTTCAATTTTTAATCATAAAATGTGCATGGATATCAAATAATAATTTATTAATTTATAATTATAAATAATATAAATTTATAATTCACAAGAAAAATATGTTTAACGTTTTGATGTTTTTGACGTTTTAAATGCATAGTCTATTGATAAATATCCTATAGGTATATTGTTTGTTTCTGGTTGTATTATAAATTATCGAAATTATTTCATTAAATTGTCAATAAAATTAAAAGTATACCTGTAATGATATTATGATATTTAATGTATACACTATAAACTATAAATTGTCGTTGTATATCATTATAGTTTATAATGCTTTGTCATACTGTTTTAACATAGAGAAAGTAATAAATGTAGTGAGTGTTAGCATTAGTGAATATTTATTTTATTTACTTGTATAAGTATCAATAAATGTCTAAAATTTGATTATTTACTGAGTTTACATTAAGTTTTATGTTTAGTTCATACTATGTACTAAATAATTTTACAGTCTTTCTACATGAAACAACGTTGTAATAATATTGGAAATGCTTTTCTTTTTTTAATAATTATCATAATATAATTAATTAACAGAAAATGATCGATGTGATGATATTTTGACTAGAATAGCATAAGCAATATACGCTTTTCAGAATAAAAAACACCTATTAATCATTGATATTATGACCTTAGAAGTAAGGAAAAAGTCTAAAAATATATGTCTGAAGTATTGCGTTATATGGCTGTGAAACTTGGTCAGTCAGTACATTAAAGAAAAGAAAACTAGTGGCTTTCGAAATGTGGTGCTATCGTATTATGTTAAAATTTAAAAGGATCGAAAGATTATCAAATGAAGCAAAATAAATTTAATAAAGGGATAGAGTGTTTTGGTATACTATAAAAGTTAGAAGAGAAAAAATGGTAAGACATCTATTACTACGCGATAGCCAAACGAAAATCGTAATAGAAGGTGACATTGATGATCATATCGGAAGAGGAAGTCCAAGGATGGTGGACGTGAAGCAAATTATGATAGACATGGGAAAAATAACTATAAGGAGTTAAAGAAATTGAGTAACAATGGAGACATATGGAAATGTGCAGCAAACCAGTCAAATGTTTGAAGACGTAAAGAAGAAAAATAACTTAATAATAGTTATAAAAACGATAGTTTATTTTTTAATATTATTAAATTTGATATTTCACTAGTGGCATTTATTTTTACTATGCGATTTTATTAGATACATTTTGATTATTTTATTGAGTTATAATTATTTTGAATGTTTTAATATTAGGTAATATTGTATTGGTTTAAATTTCAATGTTTGAGTTAAATGTATAATTTGTATTTTGGATAAATCGAGAAAAGTAATACATTTACAGTTATTTTTGAGACTATTTTTTCGGGTAATATAAAACTACGTACTAATTTCTATATCGTATCTCATTAATTTGGAAATTGGATACGAGAGGTCCTTGAGAAGATCATTTTTTGGTTTAATATGTAGTTTTCCATAGGTGGAAGTGTATTATTTATGATAACATTTATTTAGAACTGACTTAAATTTTGGCATAAAAAACTAAATTTCATTATTTATAATATAATTTGTAGATGTTGAATATATTTTTATTTTATGAAACTTTGGAGTTACAATTATTACATTCTAAAACCGGTTATTATGTCTAAACTTAGAAACCGATTTAGTCAATTACACATTATATAAAAGGAGTTTTAGTTTATTGACAAAAAGTTATGTAATGATAAAATATGACGAATGAGAGTTCATTTGTTACAGATTTAGTCTTACATAAAATTAAAAGAATTATATATTATTAGAGTTCATAAGAGTAAATTTTTAGCCACAGTTTATAAAGCATCAATTACAAAATTTTTTTACGTTTTTCTTTGTGTTCACAATCGTTTATAAGTTAATTAATGAGATATATTTATATTTAAGATAACGATATCTTAACTTTATGTAATTTTACCTTCCTACTTGGATGACCAACTACTGAGGTTATTATTAGGTATATCCATCAGTCATCACGCTGTATTACATCCGGAGTAATTGCCCGTTAACCTTCAAAGGTCATTAAATATGATTCTAATTTATAAACAATTAATCTATAATATATTTTAGGCTTGATATAAATGTGTATTATGCACTTATTCGGTTGTATATAAAAATATATGTTACTTAACGGTAGATTAGTGTTTATATGAATCTTTCTAAATTTAACCAGAAAAATATTTTGCTCTAATTTTATTTGTGGTTAATTCTATCCAAACAATAAATTAAAATAATAACATTTGAATTAAGTAATTGAGATTCGCTAATTAATGAATACATAAATTTTTTTATTTTATCTTATCTTGTTATTTTATGGTTGAATTGTATTTTTATTTTCTTTGATGATGCTTTATCAGAATGCGTTACTATGGATACCAGGAATTCTATTACATTCATATCATCTTTTTATTTGATGTCTTTCTATAACATTTCGTTCATTTTTTCATCATTTAGACATTATTTTTATGTTTACGAAAATTATTTTTGTTTAGGCATCTTTCATTAAAAGAATATCAAGTGAAATTGATTTTTTATGTTAAGCGATTCCAATTTCCACTTTTCTACAAATACATAATGATATATATATGTAATGCGTGTACAATATGATTTGGTCAATGGCTTCATGCCAAAAAAATGTCAACGCGGCGTGTTTCCAACTGGAGAATAATCAAAAATATATGTTTTTTGTATAATATAAATATTTAGATATTTATATATATATACTTTATTAGTTGTTATAATTTTTCTTGGTAAATCCTATTATTGGCAAACTTGTTTCTAAAGCCAGATAATATATTACAAATAAAATTTAAATGTTTTGTTATCTCGTCGCGTGTAGTAAAAATTAGTCAAGTTTCAACCACCAGCCGAGTACAATAACGAACTTAATACCGGATACATGTTTATTATTGTTATTAATGAATCAAATTTTTAATCTAATCTATAGACCATGTACAGTGTAATAGAATTACGGTTGAAATATATTTGGTGTGTGCGTAATGTGTAGGTAGTGTATATAGTATGTAAACCTAATGAAAAAATATTTTGTGTTTTATTTCTTGTTTTACTTGAAATGGATTTCATAACAAATTATTATATAAATTATCACTAATAATATAATATCACGTTATGTTTTATGAGTACTTTGATGCAATAATGGCAATATTATTGAGAGTATAAATTGTTTGAAATTTACTTGTCGATTTGTAATAAATAAATTTCACAAGTATCTAGATAGTTTGGGAATCCAGAATTTAGTAAAGCAATAAAATATTAATGTATACAGCAGTTAAAGTTGTCGAAACTTAAAATTTACACCGAATTAAACGGTAATCAAATGAAATTAAGTTTCAATCTTTCATTTTATCACAGTGTATGCTCCTGAATTTGAAATGAATTGTTTCAAAATGTATAGATACTTGATAAGTTCTTATATATTTATTGCTTTCTGAGTTAAATAGCTTTTGATCTTTTTTATACTATACATATTATAGACGAGTGCATATAAGTACCGGGAGACATCATCGGGAGGTATCTTCGTGTGGCAAATAACAATAGGTGATCCATTATCGAAAGAGTGTAAAGAGTATAGGGTTTCTTCTGGTGGTTGGTGATAGATACGGTTATACCTATATGCATGTGTTCTATGTGTCATTGTTATGGACCATTGCTGAAAAGGTTTTAATACGTATTTAATCTTGGCTGATCGACAAATAATCTGTTGCGTGTGTACATATAACTAACGTTTTTAGTGTTTGAGATCTAATATGACAGTAAAATTTGATATAAAAATATTTCAATTTCTTTCTACTTCGTTTTTCAATTTTTATATCCTTTATAATGTCAAAGCATTTAATTAGTTATGGTATATATATTTATGTAATAAATGTATATATACTAATACATTTAAAATTATTATAATTATTTAGAAGCCATTTAATTTTATGAAAATTATATTGGTGCTGTAATTATATTATCTGTTCAATTCTGAATTAACTATATTTCAAGTACGAATAACCACTTTTAGGAAAATGTATGGTTTTGCTGCGTTTAAAAATTCAATTCTACCGAACAATTGGTAGAAATTAATTTAATTATGTTTAATTTGATAATTCAGAATAACGAAAATTTATAATTTTCATTATTACTGTGTTTTATAATTACTTTGTATAGTTAATTTCTTCCTTTTCTTTTACGAAATTATTTCGACGTTTACTTACATTTGTAAATTATTAATATTTTTATAATTTGAATTCTGACTGCTGATGTATTATAATAATTATAGTTATACAATTATGTAATTTTTTAATCAATAAAATTACATAACCTTTTTTTATATTGTTTTAAAAACTATGTTATAGGTAGATACCATTTTAAGATTAAGGTTTTTTTTACAGTCATTGTAATTTTTAGATAGTACTTTTAAGATAATGGATTGATGCTCTTTTG